ATATAAAAATAAAATAAAATGAAATGGCATATATTTATTCAAAGACCTCTGAATCTCTGATGTTTAGATTTCTGTTTTCATGTGCAACAGTGACATTTTCACTACTTTCCCAGTGAAACTTAATGAGTACAACTTTAAATCATAAAGTCTTTTAAATTTTATTGAAATGTGTATTTGAAGCTTTTCCACTAAATCAGTACACATAAAGCAACAGTACACATTTTCTGTTTCAGATCTTGAAGTCTACCTACGAGCCAATGAGTTCAATCAATGTTATTGTCATTAATCAAGTCGGTTTAAATAAAGGGGATAGAAAATGTGTGCTTTTTGTTTGCTTCTAGGAACAGAGTTGGGAAACACTGCTCTAAACAAGCATATCGACTTCATAGGTAAGGGACCAAATATTTGTTGGTAGTGATAATCCATCTGATAATGTCAACCATATTTGACTTAAGTGCTGCACTCCCATAATTTTTTTTATATGCGATACCAGGTCTGGCAGACTCCCTGCCTGTGCTTGATAAAAGTAAAAAAAAGATTTTAAGTAGTAGTAATCAAATAATATTTGTGATGGTGACCCTGTGAGCTCTTTGTGCAGATGTCAGATGTTCTTCCATTTTTTGTCAACTTTTCACTGTGATTATTATGCTGAAAGTATAACTTAGAATTTGTATTTACTACATTTTTCATTATGAGTAGTCTCAGAGTTTTGGACCCCAGACATACGTAGTCCATTCAAGAAAAATTAATCATATTGTTCAAACTGGAAATTATTATTATTCAAAATGTTAGCACCTGGAACTCAATTTTATTGATAATTGCAAAAGTACTGATTTTTTCCCCCACTAATGGCTTCAGTATACTTCATGACACTCGCATATACATTAACAGTCTCAGACCTACTGATTTTTAATTCAAAATTCTTGGGCCAATAACCATGACATTACATTTCCATCTTGTGTTTATTTCAGATTATTTGAGATTATTTGCATTTGAGAGTCTCAGCATTGTACTTTACTACAATACTTGTACTTCCAGCGCCGGTCTCTGAAAATATAAAAAAAGAGATATCATGATAGCATTGAAATATGCAGTTTCACATGCAGTTAGGGTTCCAGTATCACATTTGCATCACCTTTTTCACCATCTACCGAAAAACCTTTATCAATATTCAAATTAACAAAATATTCAAGAGAGAAAAATCTGCTGCTATACTTACTCATGTTTATTTTCATGGTAGCTTTCAGCACCCACCAGGTAGTTTTGGTTTGGTACGGTCCAGTGATTCTAACATTTTAAAATGATTATAATCAGATTACCGTTACTTTTCTGGATTACATAATTACATATTATTCACACAATGGTAGTAAATTATTAATTTATTGATATTTATTGATGTTTAATGCATTTCTCTTTGTGTGTTTTTTTTATCACTATGGTACACAAGTCTATGTGATAAACAAGTTAGGTCGAAAGTAATCTAAAAGTAATCAGAATACATTACCTAATATGTGTAATCCAGATTGTTACTAATTAAAATGAATCATGTCATGTAAAATTCGTCTTTATCATGTAATTTGTAATCAGTAATGGGACTACAATATGTAAGTAATCTACCCAGCATTGTCTGTCTGTCTGTCTGTCTGTCTATCTATTCAAAAACACAAGAATTTACGGTTTATGCTTGTTTTACCTGTCTGGTTGTAATGCATCCAGTTGAGCATGATCTCAGGTGCACGGTACCAACGAGTCGCCACGTAACCCGTCATCTCATCATCTGTTTGTCTGGCTAATCCAAAATCCAGGATCTGACCGTTTTGATTAAAAATAAAAAATTAACAAAAGAAATGCACTGTGGTAATTCAGGAATTTTGTGTGTATAGACTGGAAAGGTATCAAAAGGGGAGTTTTTCTTACCCTGAGTTCACAATCTTCATTCACTGCTACATTGCTTGGCTTTAAGTCCTGCAAACATGCATACAAATGAAAAATGTTAACATATATGTTGTTAAAATATGTATTATGATGTTAAAAGGAACAAGACTCTAGTGGCCTATACAATGGACACTAAACAAAAACTGAGGAGGAGGAAAAGCACTCACTCTGTGAATCAGCCCGGCTGAATGGATGTACTGTTTGTGAGAGAAAAAAAGTTGAGCCATTAGAAGAAACAGTAGGACATAGTAAAAGAGGCATAGAGACAGAAAAAAAAAACCGTTTGCATCTGCAATTCAGAACATCTGTTTGTGCATGTTTTTCAAGTTTGTGAAAAATGGATCTGAAAGTGTACCTTTAGGCCACGGAGAAGCTGATAAATGAGGAATTGTACATGTTCATCTGAAAGTTTCTGAAATTTGACAATGTTGTTGAGATCCGCTCCCATCAGGTTGGTCACAAGATAGCTAGAGAGACAGAGACAGTCTTATAGCTTATAGCCGATTTAGTGCATTTAAATCATCACACACTTGCAAAATAAAAACAAATATTGTTTGATAATTGGTTGACTGCAAGTGCAGATGGTTTTAATCCAACCAGAAGTACCATTTTAGTTTTACAGACATGTAAAAAGCTATTTTATGCATTCACAAATGAAGATATAGTGACCGGGCAGACACTCACACCTCATTGAATTCTTCAAGAGAAGCTGCTGGAGTGAAAACGTCCAGCAGTCCGATAACCTGGATTACAGAAAAAAATAACATGAGTGACTCAAGCGGCTCTAGACTTTGTTGTTTGAACAGACCCAACAATCTCGATTCAGATGTTTGATGATTGTCTAGCAGTTGTATGAGTTATGTTGGTGCAGGAGTGGACATTTGGTATTTGGTATCCCCTGCGTCGATGTGTTTGCATGTGTTTTTAAGGGACTTACATTCTCATGTTTCATGTGTTTGAGGAGTCTCAGTTCTCTGTACGTTCTTCTGCTGTGGATGAGGGACTGGAAAGGCCTGGAGAGCTTCTTGACGGCCACTTTCTGACGAAGGCGCACATCATATGCTGAGCTAGAGAGTTAAATAGACAAACGTTTCAAATTATTTGCTCCAACTCAAAACTAAAGTTTCTGCTGATATTGAGACTACAGTCATTTGCCATGATGAGAGGACTGGTATGTTCCTGTTAAATTTGACCTTTTGTTCAAAATGGTATCACTTCCTCACAGCGGTGGACCATATTAAACACTCTGAATGAAAGCAGTCACACGCACTCTTAAGTTCTTTATTGAACCAAATGCTCTGGATTGAATCATGCAAGACTCAGAAGTAATTAATAAATACATAGTAAACAAGATATTTGTCTCAACTTTCAGAGGCTCAGTTGAGACTGATTAGAAAGGCTAAGCTTAATTATTTTACCGTTTCAGAAGGCCAATTGAGAAATTAGGTGGAAAAAGCAAAAGAAATTGAGTCAGTGGATAAAGTAATAATTCCTGCAGTGACTCAGTTTTATGAATGTACTTTAGTCTATTGAATTAAATAAATCAAAACCCCTGGCAGGTCTTTAGAACTGGATTAATGAAGGTATTCTTAGAAATTCATTAATCAAGGTGAAAGATGCAGTCCTGGAATTTTCTACAACTGAAGCATGCAATATGATATGGCATACACATTTTATTTTATTTTTTCTCTCTCTCTGTTGAAGACAAGAGCACACAACCCCCATTTGGGATGCTCCCATTCCCCGTTTCAAGCCCTCCACACCCCAGGTCTGCCCTTCCCCCTTCCTTTAAAATGAACCAGCTCTGCTGTGAAGAAGTCAAATAATCACACAATAGAAAAGGGCTTAACATGAACAATGCAAATTCACAGCTCATTTGAGTAAGAAAGTGTTTGTGGAGTGTGTGTGGGTGAGAGAGAGAGATTCCTGGGGAATAAAATGATGGACATTAACAGGGTCTGAATAAGGATTGTTCATTCTTCTATAGTTGTAGTGCTTTAATTCTGAATGAATGTGACAATCTGAATATCTACATTCAAATTATGATCACTAATGAATTTGGATATTGTGACTAAATGACTATTGCATTGTTTTGTATGCTTTATTAAAGCACTATGGGACCAGGCCTATTATTAAAACAAAACATAATAGCTTAATCAGGCCTCTCATGTCAGATGATACACTGCAATGTCTCTATAATCGTATCCCCAGGCTGTTAGAAATAGCTGAACCTATTCAACTCGACGTGGGATCCAATCAGCAGCAATTAAATCTCCTGTGTAAATCCATTGTTAGTGTTGTGCATCTTTTAATACAGATAATGAAATAATTAGGTCTCAGGTGGTCTTGAGATGTTGCGGAGCATCTGTGTCACTAACAATTAAATGAGCTGCATCGCATAATTTTTCACAGCTGGCAAACCTCCCAAATAAACGGGAAGAAACACTGGTAATAGCTTCAAAAACAGGACGCCCATGTGATGCCCTCAAGCAATGTTCTCTGCTGGTGCTTTTTTTCCCCAATTGCCTGTGGGTTTGGGATATTTGCTAGTTAGCTTTTATTTAGCATCGTCAACCACAGTGTCTTTCAGTACACTAGTGTCTGCCTGAAGCGAACAAGACCTGAGAGCCTTGTTTAAAAACCAAAACAAAGCAGGATTGTGCAGTGTTCAGTTCCCTAATCAGTGCTTTTGATGGAGTCAGTTTGTGTGATTTTTATGCTCATTGCAATCAATGAAAATTAGAAATTTTGTTGTATAGATCATTATTATGTAAAATATTAATGATATCATGAAATAGTTCACTCAGAAATTTGTTGAAAATGTACTCGCCCTCAGGCCATCCAAGATTTAGATGAGTTTTTGTCGTTGGAACAGATTTGGAGAAATTTAGCATTACATCACTAGCTCACCTATGGATCCTCTTCAGTGAATGGGTGCCGTCAGAATGAGAGTCTAAACAGCTGATTAAAACATCACAATAATCCACAAGTAATCCACATGACTCCAGACCATCAACTAACGTATTGTGAAGTGAAAAGCTGCATGTTTAAAACCATCATGCAAAACCGGTCCAAACCATTTCTAAACAAATATGTGGGTGGATTTTGATGTGAGAGGACAACAGGAGATGGACTTTTTCACTGAAGGATGATATTATAAATGATGGACATATATTTTGACCATGTGATTTAATGTTAAAACACCTTAATAATGGATTTGTTTCTAATAAACACAAGGCATTAATTGATAGGCTGGAGTCGTTATTGTGATGTTTATATCGGCTGTTTGGACTCTCATTCTGACGGCACCCATTCGCTGCAGAGGACCCATTGGTGAGCAATTTATGTAATGCTACATTTCTTTAAATCTGTTCTAATGAACAAACAAACTCATCTACTTCTTGGATAGCCTGAGGGTGAGTAAATGTTAGCAAATTTTCATTTTTGGGTGAACTATTCCTTTAAGCCAGCCATTGCTGTTTTCCTTTCGATTAATAACTAATGAAGAATATATTTATACCATGAGTCAGACTGATTTTGACCTGGCTCTCTTAGACGAAGCTGTTCGAACAGTAGCTTGCAGAGCGGAAACCGCAACGCCTGATTACACAACAATTGTGAAACATGGTCAGAAAAAATAGTTGGGAAGGGGAAGAGAAAAATGTTTACTTGCAAACTTAATTTAGCATATCATCTGGATGATTATGCAACTACTGCTGGTGCATCAAAATGGCGTGACGTACTTCTATATAAACTGATTGACATCTTCACAATATTTGCAAATTAGTACGGTGAAAATGGGAAGATGCTGAAGCCAGAAGCTGTCACCATGGCAACCGTTTCAGTCAGTCACAGCACGAGGGAGGCTCGAGGGTTCTAATGTTGTAGTTGAGATGCTACCTTGTGCAGTGCAATGTAAATCTCTCAGAATGAGTGCATTATGGCAGGATGAAATATCTGGACGTTTTCCCTATGCGTCATAGTAACGACACTAATTTGTGGAGATTCAGTGCATTGAGTTCCAAACATTTTGCACAATTGAGTATCTGTAATACTACTAGATAGATGCTGCATAGCCCTATGTAACAATCCCTAGTGGCTAAGACATTGCACATAATTTACACATAAATCACACATAAATTTATTTTATTTCATTTTGATTTGGATACTATATACTATACTACTACTGGGAATATTACATGACACGCTGATCCTTTAACAATGCATTGGCGCAAAAAAAGATTTTGACAAATCTGCTACAAATATTTGGACAAATGTGCCACAAATATTGCCTAAACAAAATACTGATTTTGTGCACTTTATTTAATGTGCCAATATTTTAAATTGGCCTTTGAACTTAGCTTTATTGCATGGCAAAAAAAAGTGTTACCTTGCCAAAGCACTGACAGAGCCCACTGATCTAATGGCGTTGTTGAGCGCTCCAAATGCAAACTTTGCATGCAACAATCAGGCAGCAATTGACAGCACTCTGATCTAGTGGCATACAGGCATCGTCAGATTGACAGTACTCTAGCCCAATAATGTTGGGGGATCCAGTGGGGGCGGCAGTCATATTTCAGGGTGACCATGCCACTCTTTATCACAACCCTGCTAAAAGTGCCAGTACGTGCGCTCATTGGCGCCCCTTCAGCTGGTGGCGCCCTAGGCGACCGCCTAGCTCGCCTATGCCTAGAAACGGCCCTGCAGATGGACGTCAGATGCTGATGGGGGTGTGGCACAGGTAAAACTGAAAGACGGTCTCACTTTAAGACCGGAACTGAATAGGCCTAGCATGTTGTCTACTAGAGCAATATTGTGGCACCAGATGGGCATGTTGGAAGGTTCTTTATACAACCTAACTAAACACATTTACAGAACCATAACCCTTAGTATGTGGTCATTCTGTATAAAAACACAAATGTCGTGACTACCTGTGATATACAGGAAATACCTTGTTTACTGACACAATACTGCCTTTGTGTTCTTTATAGATTGCCAGATACATACAGTAAATCAGCTTTTGTTCAGCATCACTCAGATGAAGGCGATTTAAAAAAAATGTAATACTATTAATATCTACAGGCATGCCACATGAGGTCATACAGACATTGTTGCTGAAGGAATGATTGACATCTTTCACAATATAAACAAATTTAAACCGCAATGCCAACAAATATAATTTTCAGTATGAAATGTTGGTTCTATTTTGCTAAATATTTTCCTGCCAGTTGTTGATTATCACTGTGGAAAAAGGCAGATTAATGTTTTCCGGATGTTGTTTTGTCAAGCTTTATTCCTGCCTCACCCTCGCCTCCTCTTGGACGCTATATTACTAATCTTACTACGACGAAGGCTCGGCTAATGAATATTAATTTATTCATGCTGACGTTGCTTAGTAACCTTCCTGAACGCCCTACTGTAATATTCATGAGCCACGCCTTCATTTAAGGATTCGCTAGCGATAGAACGTCGGCGCTTCAGCCAATCATCGGTTACCTCGTTAATATTCATAAGTCAGACCTTCTTCATAGTAGTATTCATAAACTCGCCTGCTGGACTCACCATACTGAGCCATATGCCCCCGATCCTACCGGTGTGAGATTCTGGTATCGTTCTGGCACCTCCCAGACAGTCTTGTTTAGTTCTTGCCGGTAGAATCCCGGTCTTGTCGACATCTCTTCCGTTTAAAACGACGCTCTTTATTACTAAACTGTCAGTAAAACATTAACGCATCCACCAGAGAGATATGCTCATGTGTGGAGGCAGCAGGCTTTAGTCCCTCTTTTTGCCAGGAATGGGAGGAACCGTCTGTGATGCTTGTGTGTGTGTAAGAGAGAGACAGAGATGGGGGATGGGACAGGCAGTGGAAATAATTCATTTTAGGCTATTAAAATAAATAATAATAATAACAACATCAACAATAATATATTTTGTTGTTGTTATTATTATTAGTGTTGTTTTGTTGTTGTTGTTGGTAATAATAATAATATACATGTATGCGCCTGTTATCATGACAAATCTAAAATAAACTATTATCTTTCATTTTAAAAAATCATCTTACCAAGAAGGCGATACAGAAAGCCACAAACTGCCCAATGTTTACTAGCTTTATTTATTAGTCATCTCAATATAAACTCACAAAGACTGAATGCTGAAAAACATTGAATGAAAATCGTATGAAAATAAACAGCAAATAATTGATCTATTACAAGTATAAATGCCACCAATAAAACTTTATATATATATATTATATATATTAGTGCTGTCAAACGATTCATCGCGATTAATCACATCCAAAATAAAAGTTTTTTTGTGTGCTGTGTATATTTGTTATGTATATATAAATACACATACATGCATGTATATATTTCAGAAAAATAGATTGTTTATATATTAAATATATTTATTTATAACATAAATTATATGAATATAAATATAGATGTGAAAACATGTAAATAGTTTCAAAATATATACTGAATGTGTGTGTATTTATATATATATATATACATAATAAATATACACAGAACACACACATATATTATGCAAACAAAAACTTTTATTTTGGATGCGATTAGTCGTTTGATGCGCCTGTTATCATGACAAATCTAAAATAAACTATTATCTTTCATTTTAAAAAATCATCTTACCAAGAAGGCGATACAGAAAGCCACAAACTGCCCAATGTTTACTAGCTTTATTTATTAGTCATCTCAATATAAACTCACAAAGACTGAATGCTGAAAAACATTGAATGAAAATCGTATGAAAATAAACAGCAAATAATTTATCTATTACAAGTATAAATGCCACCAATAAAACTTTATATATATATATTATATATATTAGTGCTGTCAAACGATTCATCGCGATTAATCACATCCAAAATAAAAGTTTTTTTGTGTGCTGTGTATATTTGTTATGTATATATAAATACACATACATGCATGTATATATTTCAGAAAAATAGATTGTTTATATATTAAATATATTTATTTATAACATAAATTATATGAATATAAATATAGATGTGAAAACATGTAAATAGTTTCAAAATATATACTGAATGTGTGTGTATTTATATATATATATATATACATAATACAGAACACCAGAACACACACATATATTATGCAAACAAAAACTTTTATTTTGGATGCGATTAGTCGTTTGACAGAACTATATATATATATATATAAGAACTATTTTGTAATAGTATCTTTTACAAGTTCGTACCTACAAACAGGGCTACATATTACTATAACTTAAGAAACAAAGCAAAAAATGTTTATCATAGCTCATGACTGTTCTGTGATTACCAGCAACCGACTCAAGTTAGGAAACAGCTTCATCTAGTGTTTCATCCCTGATAAGACATGACAAAAGAAAATTATTTTAGGCTTTAGAGACACTTGCAAGACTCTATTGAACACTGAGCATTCAAAAAAACACAAGAGTGCATGCAATCAGAAAGCTGATTACATTAAACCAGGACGAGAAACTGACCTGACAGATGAAAGGCAGGCGCTCATGGCAGCAAGCATCCATCCATCCAAACCTGTCCTGTTCTTCCTTAAGAAGTTTTCCACAAAACATGCTCACTGGGTGCTTTGGAAACTCTTGATGCCATGATGCATACTTCACATACGGCCCACTGGTCCACAGCCAGGGCGAACAAGTGAAGAGCATACTCCGTTCAAGCCCGATCCACACTCCATCAGTGATTGCTTTATCCTGCAGCATCTGTGTGATGTACTCGTGTGCCATGGCATTTAAAATGTGCGCCAGTGTCTGGTGGTGAGTTTTGCAGTATCCTAGTGCATCAATCCAACTTTTTGAATCATTGATATAGGTATAGCTGTCTGAAATAGACATTAAACAAAATTTCGGTCATTTTACTATAATATTATAATAGGTCATGATGAAAGTTACTTTAGTCCAGTGTATAAATAAGGACTAGTAATGTTCTGGATGGCAGTGTAATCAGACTCATTTTTATTGTATGTATTTGACTCACATTGGCAGATGACTCCAGCATCTTTATAATGATTGCAGTTCTGTATGTCCCATCCAGGAGATCTACATATCTTTAGAGTTTGCTCATTTCCATAACAATTTACATTATTCATCCATATTGGTCCTGAGCCATTCCCAAAAAAAGCACCTTTTCTTGCCTCTATAGCATCCCCACAGCCCATCTCTCTACACACCACTGCAGCGTCTGATAGATCCCAGCCATCATCACACACTGTTCCCCATATTCCATTATGAAGAACCTCCACTCTTCCAGAGCAAGAGCTGGAACCATTCTGCAGTCGAAGTTTGGCTAATAAACAATAAATGAACAGGTCAGAAAGGTTGATGACACCAGTCTGAACTCTTAAAAATGAAGGTTCTTTATTTGGCATCCGTGGTTCCATGCAGTATCTTTACCATCCATGGAAACTTTTCATTCCACTAAAGGTTCTTTAGATTATTAAAATGCTCTTTGGACAAAAAAAGAAAGAAAGAAAAAAAGGTCTTTAGGAAATTTTAGGAAAAATCTTCTAGAAACTGTTTAGGAATGGTTCTTTGAGAAATGAAAAATTGGTCTTCTATGACATTGCTGCGAAAACCCCTTTTGTAGAGACAGACATAAATTATGAACTCTTAAAAATGAAGGTTCTTTATTTGGCATCCGTGGTTCCATGCAGTATCTTTACCATCCATGGAAACTTTTCATTCCACTAAAGGTTCTTTAGATTATTAAAATGCTCTTTGCACATAAAAAAAAAAAGGTCTTTAGGAAAAATCTTCTAGAAACTGTTTAGGAATGGTTCTTTGAGAAATGAAAAATTAGTCTTCTATGACATTGCTGCGAAAACCCCTTTTGTAGAGACAGACATAAATTTGCTTTTATTCATTGTTTGCATATTACTGACATGAACAATTATGTTAAGAAATGCAGCAGTATTGAAGTATTATGTAAGGCAGTAGACCTTTATAATGCAGCGTTATTCACTTACGTCCACAGATAACACCAGCATATTTTTCATGGCTGCAGTTTTGTCGAACTCTTCCGCTTAATACACAGTTCTTCAGTGTAGACTCTGTTCCATTACAACTCACATTGTTCATCCATACTGGTCCTGATCCTTGTCTAAAATAAGCAGCACTCTTTACCTCTGTCACATTCCCACATCCTATCTCTCTACACACCACTGCAGCATCTGATGCATCCCAGCCATCATCACACACTGTTCCCCACATTCCATTGTGGCGAACCTCCACTCTTCCAGAACATGAATGAGTGCCATTGACCAATGTGACAGGATCTGAAGCACACGGCAAAAGAACAAAATGGTTTTATGTCTTTAAAAATGGGCTGAATGAACAAAATCATATTAAAATTATTGTTTAAAGTGTTATGACTCACGCAGACAGATGACTCCAGCAGTTTTATTACTACTACAGGAAGCAATTTCATATGATCTGCAACTCTTCAAAGTAGATTCTATCCCAGTACATTGTACAGTATTCATCCACATTTGTCCTGGTACTTGGTCAAAATAAGCAAGACTTGCACGTATGACATTCCCACAGCCCAGTTCTCTACACACCACTGCAGCGTCTGTTAGATTCCAGCCATCATCACACACTGTTCCCCACTGACCGTCACGAAGAACCTCCACTCGCCCAGAACAGGAGTTGTCACCATTTACCAACCTGACAGTTACTATTCACACAGATAATAAAAATACAAGTTGTTTTTACTCCCATATCATTGTGTATTTTACTATTAGCTTATTTCAACAAGAACACATTGTGTTAGATTAAACAATTACAGTATTGTTCTATTTAACTCTCTTGGGTCATTCCTTAAAAAAGGAAAACATGCAATTTTACGAATGTACAAATGAATATTTTTGGCTCACAGTTACAAATGACCCCAGAATCGTGGGAATGGTGGCAGTTATGTGTTCCCCATCCACCTGTCCTACAGTTCATCAGTGAAGACTCAGTGCCAGTACAATTCACATCATCCATCCATATTTGTCCTGATCCCTGGCCCAAATAAGCAACACTCTTTGCCTCGATCGCATTCCCACAGCCCATCTCTCTACACACCACTGCAGCGTC